TTTTTAAATATAAAATATTATATGTATTATTTTTTAATAAATTAAAATTATTTACATATTAGTTAAAAAAAATTCATAAAATTCGAACACTTGAACCTACAAACAATAAATAACCTTAACATAAAATTCATATAATTGGGTGTTCATTATATATATTATTCTTAGAAAAACAGGAGGGGAAAAAATGTAAAAAAGCGGTTAAGGTGGTAGGGGCATTGAATGGCTCTGTCTAGGACAAATGGAAGGGGGCCCTCTCCCACGGGCAACAAAAAGGACAGTTTACACGCCCTCCATCTAGTGCTTGCGCAGAGCCTCATGTCATCAAAACCTGAAACTGAGCAACTTTCAGTTGTGGATAGTGACTGACTATTACACACAGGACACTGCCCCAAGTAAAATGTCCACAAAGTACCACAACAAAACTCCAAAAAACATTAATATCCACTCCAACCAAGACCCAAATGCAACCTCAAACAAACATGAGGATGTGGATAGTTATACAGAGAAAAAAAGGAAGACGGTGGAGGTCAAATCCCCGTAGAAGAAATCTCTAGTACTTCTTTTCTCCGTTTGTTATCCATCAATTTCCACACGTTAAAAGGTATTAATGATTTGACCTACTCACAAGTTATTAGAACTTGGTTTCCAATATATTCTATCATCTTCTAATCCAAATTTTTAATATCTAGATCTTGTTAATCGTGGGTGTTTGTATTAAAAAATTAAAAATATTTATCAATTATTAATTTTAATTCAACAAATTAAATACTTTGAAATCTTACTTGGACTTTAGCTCCAATGACATCATATCACATATAAGTGTATTATTCAATGGCTTGAATTCAACTTTTAACGAATTTGTTAAAAAAATAAAAAATAAAAAAACTCCAAAATCAATATATTACGTTAAAATACTTAAATCTAAACAACCACAAAACCATGTTTAAGTTGAAAAAGTTGGGATCAAACCACTATCTTCTTGGTTAATATGTAAGGAATAAATTAACTAACCAAATTGATTCCTAAACAAGAATTGGGGTTCAAAATATTTAGATTTTGGATCAATTCTCTCTCAAACACAATGTCAATATCATGTCTTCCAATTCTATTAATTTTCCCCAAATGTGCCATGATGAAATATAGGAGGAAGACAAATATTTGAGTGCTTATGGTTGTTTTATTGCCGGCGGCTCTCTCTGAGAGGCACTTCTCCAAAACCCAGCACCGTAGAAAGTCTCCCACATCTCCTTTTCCAGCTCCACAACGGCTTTATCCGCCTCCTCGGAGCGGGGAAGGGTGTCTAACTCGTCGTGACAGACCACCGAGTGAATATGCAGCTCTGTTTCGTCGCAGCCGCACTGGGACCGCCGTTGTTGGGGCTGCAACATGCCGTTCTTCAAGAGCTGCTGCCGCCGCTTGCTGCGGAGTGCACGGCGGCAAAGACCTGCGGGGACCTTGTAGATAGCCAGCACCAGGAATTCCATTATGCCGATGGGGCAGCAACAACAAACCGCCGTGCATTCCGCTGCCGCTGCTCCGCATACTTCCGCGAACCTCGCGGACTTGCTGGTGCGGTTAACGCCGTGTCTACTGCTGGTGGCAGTGGAGATGTTCGAGCGGGTGTACAGCAGTGGCCGTGTTTTGTCCACAGACACCGGCCGGAGGATTAACTGGCGCGATGGTGGCGACATCGGTTGGACTTGATTTCGTTCCCCCCGTGAAAACCCCAGAAATTAGCTAGTATCCGTCCATCTATCGGAAATGCAATCGAGACCCACAATGGGAAATCTCGAATTAATCTTCGATCACTGAATCCGAATGTTGCATTTACCGATTCTGCGATCAGGGTCTTGCGGCGATCCTATTCTCCGAACAAGGAAAAAGAAATAATAAAAAAATGGGAGATTCAATTCCTTGTTCGAGGATCTCGGGGAAAACAAGAACCTTATAAGTGTTAAAGAAAGTGGGGAGGAGGAGAATAGGAGGAATGGCGTGGAAGGGAGGAGCGGTGGTGGCGGAGGAATCTTGATCCCTTGGAACCAGCGGCTAAGATAGACGGGCTTGAAACTCGGCGGTGGAGAGGGTTTTGAAATTTGACGGGTTCCAAAAGTAGATATGAGGCCTGTAAATTGTAAAATGCAATTTAATATTTTATTTTTTCTTCGTTTGTGAATACAGCAAAGGAGGGGTCGGGGAGGAAGATACCTAAGTTCTGTGTGGACAATTTTGAACATTGATAATGATAGAGTCACGAGAGAAAAAGGAAAAACGAGATATCATGTACAATCATAATAATTATTAAATAAATATAATATAACATAAATTTTATTTTATTTTTATACGTGGTCTGACGTGATTGGATCTTTAGATCCAAGTGCACATAAATTTTAATTTTATTAAATTTATTATATAATTATTATTAAATATTTTAATATTTTTAATATCAAAATATTCTGATTTTCCCTTTCTGGTAGTTACAATATCTGTTGTAAATTTATTATATGAATAATTTTTATTACTATTTTAAGGATTTACTAGTTAGGTAGAAGTCAATTTTACTAGGAAAATGAGTAAAAAAGTATTATATAAAAAATTTGATAAATTTTATAATAAAGTTTTGTTGGAAGTTTATAATAAATTACCTAAATTAACTCTAAAATTAGGTAGTAGGGATAAATTCACCACAAACAAAAAAATGGATAAATCTACCTATAAAATTTTTTACTTTGACAAATAACTTCAATTTAATGTGTGATGTTTGATAATATTAATAATTTGTCAACAATAAATTTATCAACTACTCAAATTAATAGATTATTAACGTCATTTAATGTCACACGTTAAATTTAAGGTAATTTGATCAGGTAAAAAAATTTTATAAGTAAATTTATCTATATCTTTTGTTCAAAGATAGATTCATCCTCTACTTAACTTTAAAGATGAATTTGAGTATTCAATTGAATTTTATTGACATAGGGAAAGTTGGGAAAAACCTTTTTCCTTAAAAAAATGTGAAAAGAAAATTTTACAAGATGATGATTGTATAAAGAAAAATAAAAACTAAAAATGTCACTTTTAAGCCGATTTTATTTTAGTGTTAAGGTATGAAATATGTAAATGATCCTTTAAAAATAATTATTTTTAGTTTGTAAACTATTTTTTACACTTTTTAATCTTCAAATTATATAAAATATATTTTTTAGTTATTCTATCAATTATTACATTAAATCTATTTATATATGTATATTTTTTAGTCTCTAAACTTA